GAGAGACGACGAGTGAGGGGGGCGTCGCATTCTGTTATTTAGCGACGGGCCTAGCGATGGCCCGTTTAGGCCTGTAATTGTTTCCAATCAAGTGCAAACTGACGCAGGGAGGGAGCGGCTCTGTGTTGAGCTGAGCGTGTGCGTGTGTGTGTTTTTGTTTACTTTTTTTCCTGTTCGACACGGGGTTTGCAGCGTCGCATTGCATCTGTCCGTCTGGGGCGTTTGGTATCGCTAAGCTCGGATGTTGTATGTGCTCGCGCGTCTACCTATTCCGTTTTGTGGAATCAGCTGTTTGGGAGAAAAGGATGGGCGATGGGCTGCAGGTTGGATTGGACGTCTGCACACCGTATTACACCGTGTAACAAAACAAGCAGTAAAAAAATAAAAAATAAAAATAAAAAAAACCAACCCAGAAATCTACGCAGTAGCACTGCGCGTGGAGCAGCTGGAACCCGTATCCGCGTCGCCTGCCCAAGCCTTGGCCCGGACTCGCCTGCATCGATCCATCCTACCTCCCAGTTTGGCGCCGGTCGATGGATACCGACATGTTAACGCGTCTGGAGGTATATTACCTCGCGCCTGGGTTGGAAGGGGTGGTGGTGTTGCAGCGTCAAGGGTAGCCGCCGCCCGCCGCCGCGGCCAACATGTCGGGAACGACGCAAAGCGCAGGCGTTACAGTGTGGGTAGTGGTGGCAGCATTTCCACTTCGTGACGGATCCACAGCCAGCCCAGACGGCGACAGGGTTGATGAACTTGGTCAGCGCGTCTTTGCTCCACCCCGTCGAGAAAGGAAAAATAAAAGAAAAAGCAAAGAAAAAAAAGGACTAGTGGAAAGCAGCCGAGGAGGGAAATACCTGGACGAGTGAGCCAAATCAAGCCAAAAATAAAAGAAAGGGGACGAATGACAAGTCCACTTACATTGCATCTCGTCGGGGAACGCACCGAGTTCTAATGTCTGTGGAGAACAAAAAGACCAAAAATCGTTGAGCGTGCGTGCACATACCACCACCGTCATAGGGCTGGGTTGCAGTGGGAAAAAAGCTTCCAACAAATTGGGGTTGGGGTTGCCGCGGATGTGTGACCAAGTCAACGGCCCACCAATGAGCCGAGCCCTCTTTCTCTTGTTCTTGTCCCTTCAAGCTAAAGCAAGTTTGGTCCCGCGGCCACCACACCTTGGCGGCAGATTTTAGATTCCATCGAGCTTATCCAACCTAGAAAATCTCATCTTCCCCGATCTGGCTGGAGGAGGGAGAGAGCAACGCGCAATCCAAGTGCGTCACCCAGCGTCACCACAACACACGGAAGATTTACCCTCTTCGTTACCTATCTGTCTTGTGTGTGTTTTCTCCCCAATCCGTCGTACGTAAAACGGCCCACTGAAAGGACCGGCCGTCTCTTCCCGGTTCGGGTATCTTTCTCGGCAGCTTCACATTCGAACAAAGAGGCGTGAGGATAGGAAAGCGGGGGCGTTGTTTGTGCGCGTGTTTGTGTGGGCCGGTGGGATTTGATAAATCGGAACGGCCGTGGCCTGTGAGTGAAAGTGGAGTTGGCGTTTTTGGGGCGTGTGCGTTTTTTTTTTTTTTTCTTCTCTTTTTTCTCTCGCTTCTCATCTTGTTTCCCACCTCCCTGCTCCGGATTGTTTTCCTTCAGACGCGGGTTGTGTATGCCAAGTGATTCGTTCCAATTGAAATGGCTGGATTGCCTTAAACCGGATGGCGCGAACGGCTTGGACAGGGGGGTGGGTGACCTCCCCTGCCCGAGGTGCCGTAGCGTCGTTTCAAGTTTTGCTGGGGATGGAAGAGCAAGGGAAAGAAAGCGCGGATGCTATTTCCGTCCAGCGGAACGCTTGTGTGGCTGGTGCGTGCGTGCACTTCCCACCCATGGTTGGGTCGGCAAGGTGCGCACGCACCAAGGTCCGGAAAACGGGCAAACCACGTCGACAAGAAGAACCGACCGAGTGCGCGCTTGCTGTCGTAGTCACTTGGGCTGGCCTGCGCCGCACCGACTGCAACCTTGGCCGAGGCTCCTTGAACAAAAAAAAGTGGGGATCTGCTGGTGGTTGATGTCTTGGACGGGAGGTTACATCGAACGGCGCAGGAAAGAAGAGAATAGAAGTAGAAAAAGACACCACACAACACACACACACACACACACACACACACACACACACACACACACACACACACACACACACACACACACACACACACACACACACACACACACACACG